GTGTGCGTTCTGTGGGGTCGATAAGTCGTGTATATTTACTAGATGTCTTCGCGTCATCTTGGCCGGCGTTGTACTCACGTACCTTCTTCCGAACTAAAGCAAGTTTTCGTGCTTTATCTGGCGACATCCTGTTCCTCTTAGCCGTGTGAATGAGAGCTAGCTCATTAAAGTAACGTTTGCAAGTTGCTGTATTTACAGCAATAGATAGAATTACCAGTGCGAGGTCTGGCAACTTGCTGCGTGGCATCTCGGAGCGCATACAGTTCCAGTACGCGTCAACTGAGCTGAAGTCAACAAACGATAGCCCTATGACATCGTCATTCATGATCCAATTGTGCAAATCTTCATACAATCCTGACATATTTTTGCCAATGTTGAAGCGCTTGAAGTAATACATCCCAATGCGGCAAAGTGAACACACTGAGGTCAGTGGTGTTTTGTCTAAAATCGCTTTAGCCGCTTGTCTGTGTGCAGGGTGTAAGAAGAGCGCAAGAAGCATAAGAGGTTGCTCACACTGCCGCCATCTTTTCTCAACTTCTCGAACAAGGTTTTCGCTCCCGTACTGGTTCTTTGAGAACCCAGTGAAGATGTCGAGGTAACACACAACGACGTCGGCCATTGTGTTTTCATCGCGCTGTAACTTTAGCGATGCATACGCAAGAGGGCGGACAACGTTTTCGGCGTCTTCAAGCGAATCCCAGAACGTTTTTTCTCCAAATACCCGTAATACCGAAGGAAAATCTGCTACATCTCTGAACTTGACCTCCAGTAGCTCCAGTGCACTTCGGATTCGCAACAGAGATGCGAAGCACCCATGCATGCTATTCCATCTCGTCTCACACAGCTGTTTCACCTTTAAGCTGTAGCCATAGGTTTCCCTCATGCACGCATCGGCTTCGACGAGCCACTTGGCCGAAGATGAATTCAGGGCGCTGACAGCATCCGATGCCTTCTTGGTGACTTCTGCGTAGTCAGACTTGAGAACCGCTTTTACCAGATTATTTAAGTCGTGTGCGAAACAAATGACGAAAGCGACCTCTGTCCAGCGAAGGCTTAAGATCCTGCGCGCCCTACCGCATTGTCCCGCATTGTCCGTAACCACCGCCCCAATTTTCCAGCCTTCTTGCTGCATTTTTATCATCACCTGCTCCATTTGTTCAGCTATGGCTACCCCATCGTGACGGGAACCAGTAGGTAAAAGTCCGTAGGCCAATACTATTCCAAATAACGCCAACTGGCAGCCCAGCAAGTGAGCTCGTGCGATGTTCATCCAGACATCAGATAAGAAATTCACGCGGCCTCCTGTCTTGGCTTGGCACCGGCTCAGAGCTGAACTTTCGTGGTCTTCACAAGCCTTAGCATATTCATCTAGTATTGGTCCCCCTAACGTCTTGCGTTTCGGAAGAGGGTCAATTCCACCAGACATCTTGTTCGCATGGCGCAGCATCCGAGCAGTGGTCTGTCGCTCAATGAAACTATCAGGGAGATTATTGTCTGCCTGGAACTCAAGTATATAACGTATCAAAAGCTTCATTTCGTCAGCCTGTGAGATGCCGACGTAAAACTCATCGATTGTCCGCTGTCGTTTTGCACTCATTTCCCCAGCAACTTCGTTACTGCTACCGACGTATTCGAGAGGCGTGTGTGAAGTCGTGTTGGCTTGGACATAGCCAATGTAGGCTGGGCAGCGCTTGAGTGCTTTGAATCTCGATCGTCCTTTATCGCTCAGTTCCGGAAGCTGTACGTCCCGTCAGGCTGCTTTGAATTCCTGTATACCTGGTCACAGTGCTTGCAAACGTGCCAAGTCCTGTTGTTTCCGCAATCGACACCAAGATTGGCAAACTCGAGGCGCTCGTCACTGGCGGGGTTGCCCATACTGCTCGTATTAAAGAGAGTGTTGCAGAGGATCTCGTGTCGTGTAGCAATACCAGTAAGTCGAGGATGCAACGCTGCCGAGCACTAAATCTTAACTGATTTCAACCTTAAGGCTACATTACAAAGTGTGCACATTTTGGCAGTGTTTGAATCTGGTCGGTACAAAAACCAGTTTTAAACCAGGTTGTAGTGGTTGAACTGGTTTTTGGACCTGGTTAAACCATAGTTTTTGAACAACCAGCAATAACCAACAACCAACAACCAGCCAACGCTTAGCGGCCGCCCCACGGGCGACAGAGACAACGCAGCCGAGCTTCTGGATCTCATGCGTTGTCTGGCCGAACGACTGGACAAATTTTAGTTGCTGCTGCGTTGAGCACCTGCTGAAGAGTCGCAGTCGAAGCTCACAAGAAGATTGAGGACAGCGAGGACACCGCGCGCGACGTCAGTGTGCCTGTGACACCACCCATGAACTTGAACCTGTTTGCCACAGGGCTCGGGCGCAAAGCACGGCTCTCTGGCGGGATCGCCGGAGACTCCGAACACGGCGACGCCGCGAGGTACAGCGGTGCTACCGCAGTATCCATGATACGGAATACCGGTGTCACACCTGAAGCGATAGTACTTGTACGATGCAGAATAGGCTGCTCAGCCGGCGATGGTTGCACCGCAGCAGCAGGACGCGCATCAGGCAGGATCCGGGAGGGTCCCAGCCATGAACCAGAACACCGTGGTCCATATATATTGTGCTATACGTTGGCCTTGGGTCTGGGTTTTCGTGAGTGGGACGGATGCTTTGAGGGCCAAGTCAACATCGCTCAGTCGGCGTGTGATTCCTCATAGTCTGAGGACGTCAAGGTCGCCTTTCTGGGACACTACTTGGCGGGTATTGCAGAAAGGTAATACCACAAGCTGGTCGATGACTGGTGGGGGGCAGCGGCCTACCCTACAGTACGTGATGAGAGAATGCTGCGTGCGTTCAAATTCGAGCATCACCCTATGAAACTATATACGCTGAGTAAAGGACGCCAAGCGGATATCTCCCAGCTTAACCATGTACATGATGGCTGCATTGTGGCGTCCGGAGAATAGAGCAGACTACTTTAGAGCTGATAACATCGTACGGTACGCTTCCTCGAACTTTCGAATTCTACCGATGGACAACGTGGACGGTACGAGAGCTGACTTCCTGTAATAGGCGGAGGAGCTCGCCCACTTCGCGCAAACGTGAGAGCTTGAGCCTATAAGGAACAGGAATTTCGGAAAAAGCATTCGTTGCTACCGTGGATGAGCAACGCAACAAGGAGACGCGACGGTGTCGCAAATGCAAACAATTGGGCATCTGCTAGCAGACTATCCAGATCGTGGTCGAAACCATGACGAAGGTCCGGACTTCACGCTTGCCTTGCGGGACAAGCCAACCGGTGGCAACAGCGAGTGGGTACTCGACAGTGGGTCGAGCAGGCATCTAGTGAGTAATGAGTCTTGGCTCGATGATTTTGAGTCAGTAAACGACGTGTGCGTTCAATCCAAACGAGAACAAATGCGCGTGACGAAGGGGGGCATTCTGAACTGCGGGTGTCTGCGTGCGGTGCTGAGAAGGTCCTCAAGTTAATCGAGGTGTACTATGCCACAGAAGCCGTGCACAGCTTGACCTCATACGGCAAATTGGACAAAAAAGGATTCACGCTGACGTATCGAGGCGGACAGCGCGTGGTAGCTGCCAAGGACGGAGGCACGGTTGCTTTCGATATTGGGCTGCGGCGAAACGTGCTGGTAGTTTGTGGTGAGGTTGAGAAGGCACTCGAGGCCGTATCGGATGCGATCATGACCGCATTGGACCGCAAGGCGGGTGTCTCGAGCGATGCGAACAGTGCAGCTCAAAAGGGCCCTCTGGTGGAGTTCCATAGAAGACTAGGCTATCTCAACTACGACGCTGCTAAGATTCTGCGCGGGATCCGAGATCCGGGATCGAGATCATAGAGCGGAAGCGCGTGAGCCGCCTTACTTCTCCGGTCCGATTCTTTATCGGACCGGAGAAGTAAGGCGGTTCACGCAGTTTAGGTTTTTCTATAAAAAACCTCGCATGTGTAATTAGTCAATGGCCATTCTGAGATGGGCACGATTGGTTAAAATGAGTTCATATGAAGATATGTATGCGAACGGATTGAGAGTAATTGACACGAAAATGGATACAATTGCTTTTAGTGATAAACCAAGAGATTTAACTCCGTTTGCGCTTTTTCTAGAATATTTTAATGTTTAATTCTGACTATTTGTTTTACGTCAAAGCGAAAAAAAAACACCCCTCCATAAACGGATAGTCCCAATGGTCAGGTATTGGCAAAATTAACGGAAAATTTATACATTAAAATATCGTGCTAGCGCTACGTAAATAGAGCTTTCAAACTAGATCAACCACGCTTACGTTGGAGCTGGACGACCGAATTTATCGCCGATTTAAAGAGCTGTTAAATCTTTTTTGGTCCAGACAAGTACATATGCACAAGGAAAGCAGAGTAAGAACTGACAGTCCACCAAGGACAGCGGTGCTCACTCGCCGATCGATTGAGTTGGTGGAGTAATCTGTTCGGATCTCAAGGGCCCTATGACCCCCAAGTAAAGACTCAACAACTACATGATCAACTTTGTTGACCACAAAAGCAACTACTGCAGAGAGTTCGTGGTTTGCACCAAGGACGCTGTCACGAAGCAATTTGAGCCTTTTTTGGTGTATTTCGAAAAACGCTTTGATTGCATGATACACGTTTTAAGAAGTACCAGAATGTGGATCTATTCTGCGAGCGCACTGGTGTGGCTAGGCAGAAGAGTGGGGCACGAAATCAAGCGAGCAATGGGAAAGCAGAAAGGATGCATCTCACGATCATGCACATGGCAAGGTGTAACGGGGTTACACGGTGTGGGACGTAGTACTCGGAGAAAAACTAACAAACTCTCAGTACGTAATACTCTCTAATACCCCATAAGTTGGAGAGCTAACAATGTCTATCAGTACGCTGGCGGAAAGCCACACGCTATGCATTTGATTAGGTTTAACTATGCAAGATTGTTAAACAGATACATTTACCCCTAGGCGGCTTGGCCGTATTGAGGGGTGCCGGTTTATGGCGGTAAGTACCCATAGACCGGTAAACAACACGATCCCGCGATGATTACGGTATGCTGATTACGCTATCGATGATTAGACGAGTAGGATGATTGGACGAGTGTTGGTGATTGGATGCACCAATTGATTGGATGACCCACGTAGTGAGGACAGTGTAAGCTCCGATAAATCAATCACTTCGGAATCTTCCTTCTTCCCCTCAAGTGTCTTCGCTCTGGTCTACTCCGCGAGTGGTGACTCTTCCCTTCGCTCCGTACAAGCCCCACGTTGCCTAAAACCCGTGACCTCTATCAGGCCGCAATAAAAGTAAATAAAACACTTCTGATTTTGAAGCAGAAGCGTTATTCCGCGCTGATAACGCTTGGGCCCTGGCTTTAAGTCGGTGCTTAAGCTTCTTGGGATAAGGAGCTTTGTTTTAAGGACGCTTTGAGTCGAACGTCTTCCTCTGACGCTAAAGCTACGACAGCCCCGCAGCACAAAGTGCATGATTTTGCGTGCGGGCCCCCATTGAGATTTTGGTGTGATGCAGTATAGTACTATATTGAACAGGTCACCATCGAGCTCGAATCCGGGGTCTTCATCCCCGATAAAGGTGTTGATCACGAAGCCGCCGCGGTTGGGTGAAATCGTGGTCTTCGGGTCCCTGTATACGGTGTACAAGGACCCGCGCAACAAGAACTTCACGCTTACGGCCCAAGAGAGCATGCTTATCGGCGTTGGTGAAGAGATCGAGGGCTACTGCGTGTACTTGCCTAAGGACAAGGTAGTCACCATGGCGCAAAACGTAACGACCATTGAAACGCTCGACAAGACGCAGAGCGAGCAGGTTCAGTGCTTGTACTCGCGCGAGGACTCGGCCGAGTCTGAGGAGGAGCACTTCAGCGTGGATGCGATGTCTGGTGTACCGCAAGTACGGGGGCTGCGAGCGGTCGCGAGAAGACCGCGAAGAGGCGCAGCAAAAAGGCCAAGAAGAAGCTGTGGTCGCGGGTGCGATCAGTAACGAGGTGGGTGGGCCGGGATACTGCTGGAGAAGCGGAGGTGCCCGCAGATCAGGAGGGGGTCGGACGCGACGTTATGACTAACGCTGTCGAAGTAGATCCGATGAGCTATAGAGAGGCCATGAGTAGTTGCATCGAAGAGAAGTGGCTCTAGGCTATGCCGAGAAGCTTGACCCGCTGCAGGCCAGGAAGATTGTGAGATTGCGTCAAGATGTGTGTTCACTACACTCAAAACGGGTGTACAAGACCAAGCGCGATGCAGAAGGGCTAGAGAGACTGAAAGCACGCTTGGTAGCGTGCGGTAATAAACTAGGGCTCGAGATAAACTACGGGATCACGCTCGCTGCCGCCATTGAGATTACGAGCGTAAAGCTAATCTTTGTACTGTCCAGAAAGGGCCGCGTGCCTGCGAAGCACGGATATGTGGCCATGCTTACACCAAGACCGACAAGGAGGTCGAACTGAAGCTCATTCCGCATGGAATGATCGTCACGGAGGATATCACGAAGGCGTTGAATATTACGAGCGTGAACGAGCTTGCACTGGAGCTCCACAAGGCGCTCTATGGTCTCAAACAGGCCGGCAGACGCTGTAAAAAACCACTTCACCAGGAACTGGTCGAGATCGGTCTCGTACAGAGCTTAGCGGAACTGTGTGTGTACTTCAGATCCTGGGACGGCGATTTGCTTGTGTTGGGCGTATACGTGAATGGCATCCTGGGCTCGGGTGTCGGCTGACGAGCTCTTCGATGATCTGGCGTCACGCTTCGGGAAGGATTTGGGGCGAGCGCACATATACCTGGGTATGCGCGTTAACTGCGACGACGAGTGTGGCAATGAGTGGACCAGGCAGTTATCACCACTGATTTGTCAGGGAGCATGGGGAGGACCTGGCTCATGGAATGAGAGGTCAATAGATGACGAGTGAAACAAGAGAGCGGTGAGCACAGTTGAGTTACTCTCCGTGACTGCGATATTCATTGATGCAGCGGTGAGCCGGGCATTGCATCCAGTATATCGCCTTGGAGTACGTCGCTGGTCTTTACCGCGGGACCTCTGCTGGCATCCGTGGGTGTATTGAAACACTTTGTAGATGTAGTCAATTCTTGCAGGTATTTGAAGATCACTGATGCTAAAAGATAGTGGAGCAAACCTGTTAGTATATGCTTCATAAAACTGGAAAAAAGGGGTTACGAGCTGTGTTTTCTCACGGTCCGAGCGTCTCGGGCTCTGATTAACAAATAGTTATCACAGCTATACTTCTCCAACTCGCCACTAAGCTCCGTCCACGACGAATTAACAAGCCTCTGCATTGGTGGGATCTTATTCACCACACTCACGCGAGAATTTTCCTAGGCGACGCGCTCTGGCGGCAACGACTCAGTCTCCGCCACGCTCCCGTCATCAGTGCCATATTTCTCCACGCTGAGCTCTCGTCGCCTACGCTTATCAGGTTTACTCGCCCGACCGGTCCTCTCTTTCTTCCTTTCCGCGTCTTTTAGTCTTTCTTGAGAGCTGCATCAAAAATGCAATCACCATTTAGTCATTCGTCGTACACATCTTCTTTTCTGTGGGCTACCTCTATCGTCTGTCCATACCAGCGTTTAAAGCAACGTGTGTGCGTTTACAAGAAACTTTGCAATTCAAAACAATAAACTCTCGCCAATCTCGTCCAAAAGCTCCTGCAGCGTATCGCTCGAGTCGCATGAATCCCGCGGAGGCTCGAAGTCGCCGTCTCCATCGTCATCTTTTTCCTCGTCTCCGAAAGATGAACCGGGGTCGGATATGACGTCCCGTTCGCCGTCATCATCTTAATCGTCGCCTCCGGGAGAAGAATCGAGCTTGAATTGGGAGGCAAATTCGTCTTGCAAAAATGCAGGTCAGAATAGCTCAAGTACCGTCAGTCATGCTTGGGGCGTCTGTTTCCGTGAATCGGTCCTGCTGCGTAGCGATATTCTGTCGAAGGGACGTCGGCGTATCAGTCGTCGGTGAGGAAACCCGCCCGAAAACGCCCGTGATGCAGTGTTTGACGCGTGGCGTGTGTTTTTCATGAGGCCCTTTAATCCAACGGCCAGTAATAATCGTACTTAACGTGTATTTACTGTACGTATCGGTTATTTTTAAAGAATTTAAAAATCGATGTGTAAGTTTTGCAACTCTTAAAATATATCGATCTCATTAAGGGTGCACAATTTTTAAGACGCCTCATTGGTACCTTTTTATGAAAATTCCTTATGGAGCTTGAACTTGAAGAAGCGTCGAATGACCTGGTGTTTCAAATTCACGAGTCCAGGAGAGACTTACATACCTAAATCCACATAGACAGTTCTCAGGATGATAGGTGCCTCCGCGTTAGACCTGGAGACGCTTAGCAAGGTACATTTGCATTTCATGCTTCTGCTTCCTCACCTCGTTCATCTACGTGAGAATTGGCTCCTTATACAGACTTTCTAACTCTACAATTACCTTTACTGAATAGGACCTGAGTAACATGATATGCTGCTATACCTGTTATTAAAAGAGGAGTCGTCCGCGGGTCATATCAGGTAGGAAAGATTTTACTGTAGCGACGTTTCTCCTTCTCGTAGTCTGAGCCAGCTGTTGAGCTTCTCGCTTCTCGTTTTTCAGAGTGGCAAATATAGAGCAAGACGAGCAAGACCATCACGTGCACTTCGACAAAGTGTGTATGGAAGAAATAGTCGAGGCGTGCGCGGTAGTGGTAAGAAATAAGGAGTAAACGATAGAAAGGTTTTGCTGAACAGGATGTTGCAATTTAAGACACTAGAACATGCGCGCAAAGGGCAGTGAACTCGCTCCTCTCGGTTAGATCCAACTTCATTTTTCGTCCCTAGCTCGATAGTGCGCTCGATTCACGATTCATTTACCAATCTTCCTGCCGTACTTCTTCGTGAACTCCCCGAAGTTCTTGAATGCAGATCTCTCCTCTTGCTCGAGCTCGTCGCCCTTGTTCACACGACGCAACGACCTTCCGTCGATATTAGTGGATGCCACGTTCGCTAGCGTGGCTGGTTAGAATCCTTTGTCGTCGGGAGAGCACAACAGCTAGCGTGTAGAATGGCTGCGATCACCATTGGGAGAATAAAGGAGAGGCCATGTTGCTTGTTTAGAGATAGTCGGAGGGGGGCTTTGTGGGCTACCGGGAAAATTGAAGATTGACAAAGGCGGCTTCGTTAACTTGGACTGAACATGATTCACTTCACAGCACATCCGAAAGCAACTGTCTTTAGGAAAAACATGCGCTCCACATTTGGTCGTATTTTACGACTGCTAGCAGATTTGTAGCGCTCATATGGTACATGTACAGTATAAACATAGAAATGAAGGTTCTAGACCAATGTTATTATTAATATTAGTTTTGCCTTACGTAGGGGCTCATGTAAGGTAAGCTATTTTCGTACACCTATTTTATATAAAATAGTATCTTAACTCTCTCGCGTTGAGTGTTACCACGACGCATTGGCGAAACAAGCTTATAGTCTTTATGTATTAAAACTGAGGTAAGGGTGTAAACATCCAATTGTTCGCATTTTGGTGCAGTACAGCAACTCTGGGACGACATTTTATCGTAATTCAAAAGAGCTTTACCATCTTTAAGTCGCTGCCGAATTCAAGCTACATGTATTATTGCTGTACTGTACTGTCTCTCGCTCTGGAGGTGTTTGGACTTCAGATACATGTCCTGTCATCGTTGAGAAGCAATCCGTATCGGTGATCATTGATGACGGTATTATCCCGCATGGACAAACGTTGCACCAAAATTAAGATTTGTTCCCGTTACAAAACTTTTGTACATGTAACGGGAACAAATCTTAATTTTGGTGCAAAGTCTCTCCATATGGGTTTCGGGTTCTGAGTACTTAGTGAGTACGAATCTGGTCCGTTTTTGCAAATTCGAATTTGCAAAAACGGACCACAGATTCGGAAGGACTCTTCCCGGCGAGGGATTTCCATAATCCAGTACGGTACTGCACCCCGTTTTAGCGCCCTTGAACCTTTGATAAACTTCAGGATGTGATGATCCTAAATCCAAATTGTTTGTATGCTAACACTGGATTTATTTGTAAATCCTTCAGGGTCCATCCCCCGCGGAACGGGGTGCAGTATTGTACTAGTGTACTGGATACTGAAAATCGGTGAGTTTATTTAGAATTTGGATTAGAAAAACAGTACAGCCCGGTAAGTTCGCGCCACGTAAAAATCCAGTACACTGTTCAAGTACGCACACCTGACAGCAAATATTGCAGCATCTTATGAACGAAGTATTTTAATTATATGCTAGCAATACAAGTAATGAGATGAAGCATGTGTCCAGTATCCAACTAAAAGTGTCCTGATAAGAAACTTCACCAATTTTTAAAGTAGGCAAAGAATGATACTTGGGCACAGTCTTAAATGCGATTATGTCCTGGAAAAAAATCTTACTATTATAAAATTTCTATGGTAACAAGTAGTTTTGCCATTACAATTTTGAATTAACTTGCACCACAACCTGTGGGTTTCATGGCTGTTGGTTATTGTTGGTTATTCTACTGTTATTTGTGAGCTTTGGGATGCGCCTCTCTCCCCCTGTCGTGTCATTTTGGGAATGACGTCTCCAACAGCACATTGTCCATCAAATGCCCATTCTCCTCCAGAACCAACTGCCGACGCACGTATCGATGAGACTGATGCTGCAGAACGTTCTGCTCAAGCTAGTAGCAGCATCTGTAGCAAATCAGACAAGTTTGGGAAAGGAACTTCAATCAAAAGGCAGACGGATATTTCTACAAGCTCAAGACGAGCAAAAACCTACCTGCGCGCCCTCCCAGTACACCGACGGACAGAATGCAACTGCCATTAAAATTCAACGTAAAACGGGCGCAGGTCATAGCTGCCACTTGCAAATCTACCAAATAAGCCAATCAAAACAGTTAAAACGCCACATTGTACAGCTGAACTGCAGTGGTTATTCTGCACCAGTCACTTGGTAAAATGGAGGCGGTACGTGTAGCTGAAACCACCTCGGAGTTCGAGTCCACACCGGTCGGAGCCCCCACCTGAGCCTCCGTCACCACCAGAAATCGTGGCGATTGCAGACCTACTTGACGAGGTATACGCGGAGCCTAAACAGCGTCGGATGCATTATACAATGAAGAAGAAACGACATGCTCTTATAGCAACACAGGGTTTAAGTCAGCGCGAGGCTGCCACGT